CAGAATCTTCTAATGGTGTTGTGTCAAGTAACAAAGTATCATTTTTATCATTAGGAACCACTCGACCCGCTATTGCTTTCAAAATTTCAGGACTGATTGGATTCTATAATTTTTATTATATTGTATTAATAATAATAATAAGTTCCACAAATCACAAAAAAAAAATTCCATACAAATATATATACCTCATAATCAGCAACAAAGTAATGATTTATAAGTTTTTGAATTTGTGTTGGAGTTAACATCCAACATACATCATAAATAATTTCAATGTCACTTGGTGTTGCCTATTGATAAAAAATAAAAAAGATTTTTTTAAATTTGTAAAACAAAAAATACAAAAAAATTATAAATTAAAATTTACCTTTTTGAGTTGAAGTAGTTTAGTAGCTTGGGTAAGATGTTCTAATTGAAGTGTGCCTTCAGGCATTTCATGACTCTTACACCACTCCTCTATTCTAGTAATATTATATTGAATTTGCATAGCTGTTTATAGCAATAATAAACAAAGATATTAGAATAATAATGGTATATGTATTCATTGCATAACAAATAATGTTTGATTTAAACAAACCTCTCTTCCATGAACAGAAACTTCTTCTCATTAACAAATCATTGAATGATGATACACCAATTAATTTCAACAACTCAATGACCACTTGTTGAATAACTAACAGTTCAACATAATAAGATTTCATTGATTTCCATACTTTATTCAAAAAATTAAGCAGATCATCCATGCTGAATGCAGGTGGTGTAGGACCCGCGGCAGGTTTGGCAACGAAACGGCTTTCACTAGTTATGAATCCAGGTAATGATTGACTTTCAATAACAGCTGGAATGATCATCTTAGACAATCGTTTCTTAAGTTCTTTCATCCAAGTATGATAAATATTATACTCTAAACTTTCCAAATCATGCTTAACAATCGATACTAATCTTTCATAATCATGCCATTCAAAGTCTTTATCATTGGGATCTACTAAAGGATTTACTCCACGAAGCGTATCTTTTTCAGTTGCATTGGCAAATGATAATAATTCATGTACATTAGACAACCAAAAAGCACCTGGAAGAATTGCATCATCACCTTCAAACTCCTATATATGCATTATAAATTTTGGAGAGTGATCAACAAAAAAAAATCGCATATAAATCAATCAATCAATCAATCAATCAATCAATATTTATTCTTCCTAAAAAATTCCTTCTCGATTCAGTTGATGATGCACAAGACTTTGAGATTACTCAAAAATCATTATCTAGGATAGGGATAACAATTCAAGTTCAATGGCAAATTTTTAGGCTCTGCGCTGCTCTTTTACATCTTGGCAATATTCAAATCACTGCAAGTCGTGATATGGCCGTGATTTCAGATACTGATCAAGCTTTAGTAACTGCTACAAAGTTACTTGGCATAGACAAAGCAGAGTTCAGAAAATGGACTGTCAAGAAACTAATTGTCGCACGAACTGAAAAGATTTCTACAGATTTAAATGAACAACAAGCCACAGTTGTCAGAGATTCGGTGGCAAAATATATATATGCTAATTTGTTTGATTGGCTTGTTTACATTATTAATGAAAGTTTATGTAGTGATGATATAACTCAAAATATAAAAAGTTTTATTGGTGTCCTTGATATCTATGGGTTTGAACATTTTGAGAAAAATTCTTTTGAACAATTCTGTATTAATTATGCAAATGAAAAATTACAACAACAGGTATTTCTTTTTGCTGATAATAATAGTAATAATAATTAATAACAATCATATTAATATTTTATTTATTGTCAATAGTTTAATCAAGAGTTTCTTCATCTTCTAAAAGTTTCATAATCTAACAATATCATTTATTAATATATATATATATATTATATATATAATATAAAAAATGAATGATATATATGTATGTGTATTTTGATTTACCTCTTCTTCTGGATCATCTTCAATGTTTGATAAATGAATTCGTCCACCTGGAGATCGAGATCGAATTTTTGGAATATTTGTATTTGTGTGTGGTACAGAAACTGGTCTTAGACCACCTTTTTTGATTTCAGCCATTACCAAATCAGTTGATGTTCTATTTTTTCTTTTAGCAACTTCAGTAGGACCCCAAGAATCAGCAGTACTATGCCTTCGATTTCTTCGTTTCTGAGATGTTGGAGGCTTAAGAGATGAATTATTAGCAGCAGTTAAGTAACCAATTTCTTGACGATGTTGATATGATGGAGGCGGGGATGTTCCCCTTATACCAGCAGTCTTAACCTTAGCCAATTGTTCTCTTAAAGCAGCTATCTCTTGTTTCAGTCCAAGAACAGTGGCAGGATCTTCTGTACCCTTGTATTTAGCATTAGTTGCACGAAGTTTGGCAACTTCTTCATCTTTTTTACTGATTTCATTTGTGAGTTTTTGTATTTCTGTATCTTGTTTTTTGATGCTGTCCAATGATGTGCGATACCGATTTTCTAAAGTTTCTTTTTCAGTTTGCAGTACTTTAAATTCTTCAACTCTAACAGTGGACCGTGATGTTTCATTTTTGAAATTCTTTGAATCACTTTCCAATTTCTCATATCTTTCAAACATAGATTTGATTTGATTTTCTAACATACTAGTTCTCAACTCAAGATCCTTATTTTCTTGAACTTTTTGTTCCAAATTTTGAGTAAGCTCAATAACTTTGTTTTCCAGTCTATACGAAACTTCCTTGAAATGAGTTGCAGAACGTGCTTCAATTTTCAACTTTTTGAGTTCAGTTCTAGCTATACGACGACGAATACATGATTGAACAAAAATAACATGTTTGGTGGTTTTTTTGTATTCACGACGAGTTGTCCTATTTTTTAATTATCACAAGCATTATTATTATTATTATTATTATTAAAATACTTGTGAATTATTAGTATTTATATTTATATTTTAAATTTAAATTCAAAATTTACCGTCCACGATATACAGCTTGAATTTTAGTTGCAGAAATATTACAAAGCATCTCATAATATCTTTTCCTTGCAATAACACCACGGATAACTATTTAAAAAAAAATTTTCAATTATGAAAAAATTCCAATCTATTAAAAAAAGAAAAGGTATAAAAATATTATATTTACCAGTTTGCAATTTGTAAATTGCATTTTTGGCACGTAAATATCGTTTTCTTTGAATATCACCTCTCCAATATTTTTGAATTGTAATAGCAGCTCTTTTTTCACGTAATCGTCGAAGCTCTTGTATAGCCTTACGACGTCGATATAATGATTGAATTGTAATAATGGATGTTCTAGTTGTTTGATATCTTTTCCTATGCTTGTGCCTAAGCATATTTTTTTGCACAAGAGTCGCACACTCGTTCAATCTATCAAGACGAAGTTTTTCCAAATAAGCCAACTTAAAAATAAAAGTAAATTAATAATTGAAATTAGAAATTTTGATGTATTAATTGATGGCTTTTTGCTAACATCCTTAAGTCACTTTTATGACATAATTATGCAACAATACATCTCAAACATATAAATGTACGTAAAATATGAAATAATAATCACCATTCCAGCACGGAAAAATAGTTTAGTTAAGCCCACTTGATATTTATCAGCTTGTTTGATTGAAGAATCTAGAATTATTGAACATATTTTTTTTGTGTCTGGGCCCAATTTTGATGAATGGACAAGCATATAATATCTTTGAACAAATTCATCAAATAACCAACGAGTTGGATAACCAGCAGAACTAATACGAATAGTTTCCAAAACACCACAGGCTCTTAATTGAGAAAGAACCATCTGAGGTTCAAATTTCCATGCTACTTTACTCTCATTTGGTTTAATGCAACGAATGTAGTGCACATTTGTTGAACTGATTGTTTCCATCAAATTAATCAAGGATTTCTATAATAGTAGTAGGGATTAATAAATATATTAACGTAATTTAAAAATAAATAAATTTTTTTGCACTCAATGGTATACCTTAAATATTGAACCTAAAGTTGTTTTTTTTCCAGTTGGTAAGCTTGTACGTCTTATTTCAGGCTAAAATAATCATTGTGATAAAATTATTAATCATTAATTTATAAATAAATAAATGTTAAAAAATGTCTATAATATACCTTGCCAGTTACAGGAGAACTTGGAGGAGATGTTATGTTGAGTATTTCTTCCAAGAATTCAAAATTTGTCTTTTTTAATAAATTAAGATGTTCATCTGGTACAGTGTCTCTATTTTTTTCAAGAAAATTTTCAGCATCATAGGTGACCTCATTTGCATAATGATTAATTGTGAAAGCATCATTTTCAAATCTTGGTTTCCGAAAATATTTTTCATATGCAGGTGTATTAAAGTGTTGATATAATTTGTTGCACCAAGAGCTATCTGTACCAGATGGTAAACGACTTTCCTGTTACAAATAAACTTTATAAATATTTTTGTTTATTTACTTGACCCCCCGAAAAGAACTTTATCTGATTTACCTCATCCAAAAGAGTAAGAATACCTAATTTTCCTCCTATTTTTCCTTCTATTAATTCAATGCATGGTTGATTGTCACTGAAATCAATAAAATTCCAATTAATTTTTTCACGAATATACTCCTAGAAATATGAAGATATATTAGTAACATGTATGAGTGTAAATAACTTGGAATTGAAACTGATTTACCTCTTGTTCTAATTTAAATACATGTTGATTAAACTATTGACAATAAATAAAATATTAATATGATTGTTATTAATTATTATTACTATTATTATCAGCAAAAAGAAATACCTGTTGTTGTAATTTTTCATTTGCATAATTAATACAGAATTGTTCAAAAGAATTTTTCTCAAAATGTTCAAACCCATAGATATCAAGGACACCAATAAAACTTTTTATATTTTGAGTTATATCATCACTACATAAACTTTCATTAATAATGTAAACAAGCCAATCAAACAAATTAGCATATATATATTTTGCCACCGAATCTCTGACAACTGTGGCTTGTTGTTCATTTAAATCTGTAGAAATCTTTTCAGTTCGTGCGACAATTAGTTTCTTGACAGTCCATTTTCTGAACTCTGCTTTGTCTATGCCAAGTAACTTTGTAGCAGTTACTAAAGCTTGATCAGTATCTGAAATCACGGCCATATCACGACTTGCAGTGATTTGAATATTGCCAAGATGTAAAAGAGCAGCGCAGAGCCTAAAAATTTGCCATTGAACTTGAATTGTTATCCCTATCCTAGATAATGATTTTTGAGTAATCTCAAAGTCTTGTGCATCATCAACTGAATCGAGAAGGAATTTTTTAGGAAGAATAAATATTGATTGATTGATTGATTGATTGATTGATTTATATGCGATTTTTTTTTAATAAATGATTAAAATTGGTAATTTTAAAAAAATTACCTCCATTTATTGTTCCATGACCGCCTTGTCTCAAATAATGAAATTGAGAATAATCACCAAGTTCCAAATTCTTCCTTTCTGATGATGGCGCACCAGCACAAAGCTATAAATTATTATTTATTTTCTATAATTAATATTTTATAAGAAACAATTGATAATAATAATGATAATAATAATAATAATAATTTATAAATTTACCTGATAAAAAATATGATAATTTCTTTCTGACTCTGGTTGATAAACTAATCTGGATCGTTCTAATAAATATGTTCTAATTTTGGCACCAATAATGTTTTGATTTATATCAAATAAAATCTAAAGTTCATATATATTAGTTGTATCAGTAAATAAATAATATATTTGATTTTTTTAAAAAAAATAAAATCTACCTCTAAATATTTTCCAAAACGAGAACTGTTATCATTTCTTGTAGTTTTTGCATTACCAAAAGATTCCATAATGGGATTAGTGGCTTTATTTTAAAAAAGAGATATATATATATATATATTCATGTATTTATTTTATAAAATACAAAAAAAAATTTTTTTATCTTTTTTATTTTGGACATACCCATAATTTGTTCTTCAACCTCACTCATTCCAGATGGATTACTGGATACTTTTTTTGCACTTTTTGGTTTTTCTTTATCGTCTACTGATGCGAAATATCTCATTATGTACTTGGCGCTAGCTGTTTTACCAGCACCACTAAATTATCATTATTATCATCATCGTTATCATTATTATATTATTTTATTAATATATTATCAATAAATAAATTACCAACGATGAAAAAAATCCCACCACCATTGAAAAAACTACCTTTCTCCTGATACAACAATGGTTTGATTTTTTTCTTCTCTCAACATACATCTATAAGCATCTTCAGCAATGGCAAATAAATGTGGCTCTAATTCTCCACAACGTTTACCAGAATATGCATTGATTATATCTTGGGAATACAAGGGAACAGTTTGAAAAGGGTTTGTTGCGATTAAAACTATACCAGAATAGGTATAAATAATATTTTGAAGATATCTTATTTTGATTGTGTGAAGTACTAATAATTTTAGAAGTTTTAAATTTTGTTTTAAAAAAAATTATAATCATAATTGATTTATATGGTATAATTTTTGAGATCATATATATTTCTGATATAACCTGCAGGTTCATTAAGATAAGATAAACTTGTCAAGTCATCAACATCTTCAAGCATAGGAGGATTGCGAAGAGGTGGTAATTCGGCATTATTTGATTTTTCAAGTTTTTGTAAAGTAGTTGTGACAATTAATTCCTTTTAAAAATATAAAATATAAAAAATTGGATGATGATCAAATGTATAAATTTTCAAACTAGAATATTTTAGTTTTAATTTATAAATCATACCTTTTTGTCGTCATCGGATATGAAAATTAATTTAACGTCATCACTGCTAACTTCTTTTGATGACAATTGAGCGCTTATCCAGCCAATTTTGTCATCAGGCCACCATACAGCAGTACCTTTACCATACACTTCTAAGGAATGTGAGGTCATTATAAGTAAGTGATGATGACAGATTTGAGAAAGTTAAGAAGTGACACTAAAAGAATTTGTAACGAAATCTGGAGCTTTTATTCGTCAAAAGATCTAGCGAGAGTTTGCGAAATGAATGCTTAAATAAAGTAAGTAATGCGAACAGCTTTTCGAAGTGAAAATTTAAAATCGTTCCTCTAAAAAAAAAGGAGTAAGTGAAGTAAAATAATTAAAATATTTTTTCATATTTATACCGGAAATGGATTTGATTGACAAAAGTTTAAACAATTTAATAAATTTAATATTAAAATTGATCGTGTAACAAAATACATTTGGTCGCCGATAATACATGGAAATTATTCAATCAAATTTTGAATGTTATCAAAATTTGTACTAGTTACACGACGAATTTCAATTTTTTAGTGGCACAAAAATTTATTAACTGTCGTGTGACAAAAAGATCGACGTTCGCAATTATCATATTTACATTTTAGTATAAGATCTTCGTGTTACCGATTTTGAGCTAATATCATTGTTATATGTTACATCGGAGCCTGTTGTTCTTGAAATTTCACCAGCATATAATCAGTCACCTCTCTAATACTAAGTCCAAGTGTAGGATCAAATTTATCGCTCGTTTTTTATAACTGAACTCTTGCAAAAACGTTCACTGTAACTTATGTTATTCATGGTCATTTTTTGTTACACAGACACAATGTCTACTATGCTACATACAGTGTTTCTTTTTTTAAAGAATCTCACAAAATGAGTGATCCTCCTTTCCTTATTGAATTCCAAATTAAAGATGACACTGCAATTAGGAAGTTGCAACCAAAAAAAATTTGACATCTAATGCAACTTCTGATTGGTCGTTTACTTCAATCACTTTTTACCAAAAAAAATATTTAATTAAATTTCAACCAGTAAAAATGTGGTAATACTAATAAAACAATTTTGTCACAATTAATAATAATAATGGTTATTTATTCTACTTTATTTATTTATTTATCGTACTACGTTTTATTATTTATTTATTTATTTATTTTGTATAATTAGTTAATAGAAATTAGAATAGATTCGCGATATCGCAATTGCACAGGAAATAATTTAATTGCTGAATAGTAATATCGTAATGAAAGTGCGGAATAATAATTAGAGTGCTAGATCGCAATCAGGGCTGGCCGCGTAACTCAAATGAGCGCTTGGCCAAACTGACTAACTATTTAGTTGGTTATGTTATTGTTATGGAAATTCCTATATACAGAAAGGTTCTTTTTTATGAAATATACAAAACTTTACAAAAAAGGAAATTAAATTTTACAAAAGGAAATTTAATTATGACTTAAATTTATGTATATAAGCGTGACATTTAATAGTGATGTGATGACATGATGATTAAAATTTGTGGGTTGGAGGTGGTAGGAATTACAGACCATTTACCAACTCTAAAAATTAAATATTATTTGTCGCATAGGTTTATAAAAAGAACCTTTCTGTATACCCTTTAGTCATATGTTTATATAGTCAAAACAATTATTGCTAAATTAGGATTTTAACTGCCAGCCCTGATCTCAATGAAAGTGCTACTAATCAATTAAATTGTATATAAAAAGCTTGAATTCGACATATTTGCAAAACAACTTTGTCATAAGTTGATAACTATTAATTTAGAAATGAATTGATAATAAAATTAGCTTTGACTAAATAAAATAAATACATATTTTCTTTATAAATCACTAAACCAAATTACTCGCTAATAAAAACTATTCGCTAGCAATAGCTGATTCATTCTGATCCACATAATCATAAATTTACATTTGTTATCATCAATTAATACTAATACGCTCTCCCAAATAATAATTGATGACGCAATGGATAAGTAGTTTTATAAAAAACCTTTTACATTTTTTTATTGTTATGAGTAACATAAAGTAATGTTTGCAATTATATGACTCCATTTTTGATAATAATTCATCATAATTATAGTCGCAGAAATTGCAGACAGTTGCAGTAAAGGTTGCTACTCAATTTTAAATTTCGCAGTTGCATCTAAAGCTCCGAACGAGCCGAGATCGAGTATAATATATATATTTTTTTTAGGTAACAAATGATTAATTATTATGTATGCATATTAATTTAAGAGCCTATTCTCTTGAACTTGAAATACAAGTTTTAACTCGAGTCTGCTCAACTCGGAGTTTCTATTCAAATAAAAAACGAATAAAATAAATAATTTGAATAAAACGAATAATTTTGATAAAACGAATTCAATAATTGTAAAGATTTTCGCATTTTAATATCTGAACAAACATTGTGAAATTTTACAGTCAAATCTCTCGTTTCAACGAATCTCGTTTCATTAAATTCGCGTTACTACGAAATTTTAAAAACATAAAACTCATTGAAATGTGATTAGTAATTTTGGTATAACGAATTTTAAATGCGGTTTTCCATGGATTCGTTGAAACGAGGCTTGACTGTATGCATATATTTCAGAGTCCAAAAAGCATTGTTTTATTAGAAGAACAAATACAGAATTGTACTCATTTGAATTTTTTATTCTGTCATAAAATTATTGACAATTTATAATTTATTATTGCTTTACTTTTATAATTATTTCCAGTGGTCTGCAAAATAAATTTCGAGTTTGACTTTAGAAAATATGAAAACGATTATAGACACCAACTTTATTCCAGATTTGCTGTTGCTTTGGGATTCCTTTAATTTATTGATGAGCTTGACTATGTGTTTCTAAGAATGCCAGATTTATCAGTAAACTTGTCCAACGGATTCATGAGAGATAACTATCAAATGAAATTCCTTTACACTTATAAGCACTATATTATGTTTTGCTTTGCATCCACACCATTGATGATTCGTCTTCCTGATTATTCATCACTTGTTCAGGAAAAGTTTTTGAAGGTGCCTTAATCCTTTTTTTTTTTGTTTAGCAAGAGAATTCTGTGTAGCCAATAATATTCCTTCTTCCATTGCCTGACCCTCAACCTTCAACCAAACAACATAAAGCATAATATCTTTTCATCTATTCATTTGAAATATTTTCGTGATATTTTTGTTGCTTCTGTATTAGGTGATATATTTATATATCACAACGCGAATTATGCCGTGTAAAATTTGCAACCCACGTATGCGAATTGCAATTTCATTTTCCACGCACAACATACTGTGGTGTTCTATGGCTGTTGACAAACATATGATACATTAATATAATAATAACAAATTTTTAGTGGTCGAATTTTGTTGCCAACATTTACATGTGTTGGAATATATGATAAGGAAGAAAGAATTATGATAAATTTTTTTTTTCATAATAAAATTAAACAAAACTTTTTATGGTTTTATTGCTCAAATATTCTATAATAAATCTATATAGAGTCTCTTTCCTTGTCTCATTCATATATTAGCAATTTTTTTTCAATGTCTTTACTAATATATAAAAAAAAATTTTCTTATTTGGTAAGAAAAAAACTCACTGCAGCTTAAAAGTTTTAGTTGAAGGCTCTGATACAATTTAGCTTTTTAAATATATTTTTAATCAGGAAAATCATACCCCATCAATATACCCATAGACTTTTGCTAGAAGCGAGACAAATTAAATAGTAACTTTCATTCCATTAAAGAAAATTGTTTTCTATTAAACCAAGTGCGGATTATTGTTTTAAATTTCTGACATTCAGCAATCGTCAACATCCATAAAATTTTGTTAGAAACAAAAAGTCTATAATGTAGGTGCAAAACAATGTTTATTTCCTATTATTAAAAAATTTAATCTAATTATAATTAATTTGACAATGACTTTTTTATATAGTAATTTTCTATTCTATTTGTTTTTAAGGTAATCAATCGGAAGGTTGGTATCTTAATTAACTAATAGTAGTTGTTTTTCATTTAATAGACATGTATATAATTAACGAGTTAAATTGTCCAGGGTTCTCTTTTAATATGGCTAAGCCAGCTTTGTTTGGCTTAGCTTGGTAAAGAAAGAAATTAAGCTGTTCATGCTGCCAAGGTTTTCTTTATAGAATAACTTTATTATTCACCTGACATTATTGAATAAACCTGAATAAACCTGTCGTTGTTGTATGAACATTTTAAAAAATTCAAACATGGATCATGATGTACACGGTTGAATCTCGATTTAGTTCTAAAAATTCATCTTTAATCTACTAAATACTAAATCGAGATATCTGTAAAAAATTATCGAGTTTTAGAATTACATCATATGATATCCCTTGTATACCAATACTAATACTAAAAAATCAAATATACAATGATAAAGTAATTATAATAATAATAATAATAAATAAAATAATAATAACTATAGCAATAAAGAAATAAAAGTAAATTCATTTTATTCTAATCTTCCATTCTCATTTGTACTTTTTTCTTGAAACCTATCAATCAATATAAATAACAATGATGTATTAATATTAATATGGATTTTTAAAAAATATCTAGTATTAACATGGTAATGGTAATGGTAATAGTAATAGTAATGGTAATAGTAATGGTAATAGTAATGGTAATGGTAATGGTAATAGATGAAAAATCCGTTAAATCGATTATTATTATTATTATAGACAGAATAATGGGGTTTGGAATTTTATTCGTCAAGTCCCTAGACATACAATGCAATCAATTTTGTGAAACATCTTTTTTATAAAGTATGTTGCACTGATTTAATTGAGCGCGAGTGGTGAGAATTTTTCTAATAAAGGCAATAAAATTTTTCTTTATTAGCGAAAATCACCATGGCCATTACTTAATTAAAAATACGTAATGCGGCATAGCCTTTTTTTTATTGGATAAACTTTTTACCATAACACATCATATGAAGAAATTGCTGCAAGAGGAGGATATTATTCATATTAAGACCAAGGATGCATTACAAAGTTGCAAAGACCTTCTTATAACGGGAGGATAATACGTATATTGAATAGTTTACAAGAATAAAGTTCTTGAGTCACATGATAATGAATTCTCCATTTTCTCCATTATAA